CCTGGAATGGATTAAGTTCGAAATTTGAGGTTCCACTGTATTTTTTTTTTGTTATATTTGAAAATGTGTAAAAAAAAACGTAGATCTACTTTTGGAGCACTACGCATGTGAATGTAGATCTGCTTGGACAGTTTAAGGGTTAAGAGTGTAATTGGTCTTGAAGACACCATATTAACCCTTTGAGGGTCGACAGGCCCTCTCCGAGACTTGTTCTCAGGGTTGGCCAAATTTAAAAAAAAAAAAATTATTTTTTCTTATGAAAAGATAGAGAATCTTTTCCCGATCATAATGACACCAAAAGTATGAAATTTGATGGAAAACCTACGGAATTATGCTCTCGCGAAGTTAGTGGTCTCGACGATGTTTATGCATCGGCGATTTTGCCCACTTTGAGCCCTATTTTCGGCCAATTCCTGTGTACTAGTCGACAAAAATCATAACTATTTCTCTAGAACTACATTTTTTCTATTGAATGAGTACAACAAACCACCCATTTACTGATTTCAACTATCCAATACAGTGGTCAGGATTTAGCAATTTTGCCAATTTCACACAAATTTCAAAAGATGCCAATTTCCAAATAGGGTCCATAATAAACAAGAAAGACATTCCTGGCACTAAAATAACATTTCCTCTGTTCGTTAGTCACATCCCCAGGCCCCTCTTATATTTCTTTGGCTTTCCACTTTCAGTTTTTATTCTTACAAAAAATAGAAGATTTACTGTTATGCAGACTACTACATTAGTGTAGAAATGGTATAAATAATATCAGCGCATTTGAAAGAATATTAGACTCACCAGTTGACGTGTATTGGACGCTTGGCATGATTTGTTTACTTTTGAACTTTGGTAAAAATCAAACATTTCTGCTTCTTTGAGCTCAATTTCAAGGTACTTTTCATTGTAAAACCAGTCAAAATCATCTCAATTTCTGTAATATGTCTTCCATTCTATAAAATGAGACCAAGAAAACTAGAATACAATAATAACTACCATACAAAAATACAGAGCAAAGTCGCTGTTTTATTCCAAAAACACGGTCAAAGTTTTTTTTCTCATTATGCACTGTGTGCTGCAGGATTTTTTTTATACTGCGCACATTGACCACATAGACCCATTCTTTCATATGTATGCCTACCAGCTTTCTCCCACTAGATTTGAGGGCGCTACAATTTAGGCGTACTAGTATGTCAAAAACCCTGGGTCGTAAGCCGTACTAGTACGGTCGAAACCCTCAAAGGGTTAATAATGATAATAACAATAATAATCACTGAAGTGCATTAAATGTGTATAAAATGTTAATATAGATATTTTGCTTAATCCATCTATGATTTTTTTTTTCAAAATTGTATAATAAACATGCTACATAACATATAAATTAACAAATATGAGATGTTTTTCTGGTCGGCTTGACAGTGTGAACAGAAACCATTCGTGTCCGGGCTGGTAACAACAACAACAACAACGTTTGTTTACATAACTCGTGAAACTTCTACCCTCTCTCTCTCTCGTTTATTCATTTAATCTTGTTTACTCGCCTCTCACTCTACATTAAGTCTACAGTTATTTTGAGGTAAGTAATGAGTGGACATGATTATTATATTATTGTGGAAAATTAAATTTACCTGCATGTAACTCATCAGATACATACCAGTAAATGGTAACAAAAATAATTATTTTTTATCAAAGTTACATAGACAAGTAGGAATTTTTGGACATCTAGGTCACAAAAAATGTCCCCCTTCGATACCTACTACTGTCATATCCACAAGTCACTCTTGACCTATATTAATTTCAAATGAAATATACATTACCAGGAATTATAGTAAACATTAATATAAATTTGTGGACTGTATGTTAAAATTAATAAATGATTACATATACACATTTGTGTAACAGAAGGAGAATTTATAATCATAACACTCATCAATTTGTCTGGAGATTACCGTGTGTCATACTCAAAACCCCCGTCTAATATGAAGAAAATACTTGCCAGAATTTCAACACAATAGACATGACTTAGCTGGGGTTCTGAAGCTGTTCTGCCCATCTATTTAATGCTCACATTATGCAGGACTGCAAATCCAACAATTTCAGCTCCTATTTGAGAGGTTTTAAGCCCAGGAACCCCTAGAGCGACGAATATTATGCACATTACATTAGCTTGCCTGTACCACATTCAAAAACAATGGCGTCTCCTCCCCTGCTCGTCAGCGCAGGCGCAGAGCTTCCCTGTCGGTTCACTTCTTTAAAATACACTTTAGAGCAATAGTAATGTATTAATCAGGTTTATTTACACAGCATAATTTTGGGAAATTATTTTTCACAATTATAGTTTAATTATAATAATATGATTAATATTAGTACATATGTATTATTGTAATAATAATAATAATAATTATTAATATTATTATTATTAATTTAGGGCACTGGAGCACAGATCCACTGTATAGCACTTTGTCTGGATTTTTTGGGTTATCCTAGGTAATTTATACTATGTATGATAATTTCACTTATGTGTACTTGTGAGAGAGAGAGAGAGAGAGAGATACAGAGAGAGAGAGAGATACAGAGAGAGAGATATACAGAGAGAGAGATATACAGAGAGAGAGAGATATACAGAGAGAGAGAGAGAGAGACAGAGAGAGAGAGATATACAGAGAGAGAGAGAGAGAGAGAGAGATATACAGAGAGAGAGAGATATACAGAGAGAGAGAGAGATACAGAGAGAGAGAGAGATACAGAGAGAGAGAGAGATACAGAGAGATACAGAGAGACAGACAGCCACATTCAGTCAGCCAGTCAGTCAGCCAACCAACCACCCGGCCACCCGGCCACCCACCCGGCCACCCACCCGGCCGGCCAGCCAGCCAGCCGGATACGTATTACACATGTTCCAGAGTTGTTTCTCTTTACTTAGGGTATAGGTTATACTACATTCTGGTAGGATGACACTATCAGTGGTATTCTCCCATTCCGCTGTGTAGACAATACATAAAGATGACAGTAACATATGATACTGTATGCGATGTAAAATTTACAGTACAGTTCACTAACATGTATACATTATATACAGTACATAAATAATTAAAATGTAACAATAGAAGTAAATTATGGTAAAAAGAATGAAATAATAATTGTACATTACATTACAGTACATGTACTATGTAGGTAGTTTATATAGGAAAAGTTTGACATTATGCCCTACCCAGTATGTCGGCAATTTTCAAAGGTTCGACTTACTTCCATTTTGACTTAGGACCGGTTGGTCGGAACCAAGCTTGGTCATAAGTCGGATGGTAGGTGTATTCATAGATGGGGTTGTAAGAGAAGTGAATGCTAGGGTCTCGGCAAAAGGTGTGGAGCTAAAAAGATAAAGAATCAAACACAGTGGGAATTGTCACAGTTGCTCTTTGCTGATGACATGGTGCTTTTGGGAGATTCTGAAGAGAAGTTGCAGAGGTTGGTGGATGAATTTGGTAGGGTATGTAAAAGACGAGCTGTTGGAGTGTGAGCAGGGTAATATTTAGTGGAGGGATTCAGGGAAACCGGTTATTTTATATAGCCGGACTTGAGTCCTGGAAATGGGAAGTACAATGCCTGCACTTTAAAGGAGGGGTTTTGGGATATTGGCAGTTTGGAGGGATATGTTGTGTATCTTTATACATATATATTTCTAAACTGTTGTATTCTGAGCACCTCTGCAAAAACAGTGATTATGTGTGAGTGAGGTGAAAGTGTTAAATGATGAAAGTACATATTTTCTTTTTGGGGATTTTCTTTCTTTTTGGGTCACCCTGCCTCAGTGGGAGACAGCCGACTTGTTAAAAAAAAGAAGTAGAAGAAGAAAATTAAAGGTGAATATAGGAAAGAGTAAGGTTATGAGGATAAAAAGATTAGGTGACGAAAGACTGGATATAAGATTGGAGGGAGAGAGTATGGAGGAGGTGAATGTATTCAGATATTTAGGAGAGGACGTGTCAGCAGATGGGTCTATGAAGGATGAAGTGAATCACAAAATTGATGAGGGAAATAGGGTGAGTGGTGCACTTAGGAATCTGTGGAGACAAAGAACTTTGTCCGTGGAAGCAAAAAGGAGAATGTATGAGAGTAGTACCAACACTCTTGTATGGGTGTGAAGCATGGGTGATGAATGTTGTAACGAGGAGAAGGCTGGAGGCAGTGGAGATGTCATGTCTGAGGGCAGTGTGTGGTGTGAATATAATGCAGAGAATTCGTAGTTCGGAAATTAGGAGAAGGTGTGGGATTACCGAATCTGTTATCCAGAGGGCTGAGGAGGGGTTGTTGAGGTGGTTCGGACATGTAGAGAGAATGGAACAAAAGAGAATGACTTCGAGAGCGTATGAATCTGTAGGGGAGGGAAGGCGGGGTAGGGGTCGGCCTAGGAAAGGCTGGAGGGAAGTGGTAAATGAGGTTTTTTGTGCAAGGGGACTTGGACTTCCAGCAAGCATGCATGCATGAGCGTATTTGATAGGAGTGAATGGAGACAAATGGTTTTTAATACTTGACGTGATGTTGGAGTGTGAGCAAAGTAACATTTATGAAAGGATTCAGGGAAACCGGCAGGCCGGACTTGAGTACTGGAGATGGGAAGTACAGTGTCTACACTCTGAAATAGGGGTGTTAATGTTGCAGTTTTATAACTGTAGTGTAAAGCACCCCTCTGGCAAGACAGTGATGGAGTGAATGATGATGAAAGTTTTTCTTTTTCGGGCCACCCTGCCTTGGTGGGAATCGGCCGATGTGTTAAAAATAATATATACTGTATAAACATTCAAAAATATACCAGAAATGTTACAAATGATGTAGCGGTGACATTAAAACAATATCAAAGATGGTTGACACAAACTCACTATAATATGGTCCTCACTTAGCGATGAATTCATTGAACGATGCGGTTTTAGGAATGGACTTCCGTTGCTAAGTGAGGAAAGGCTGTAATGTATTTATATAATTATATACACTGGGTACATTTTTAGGTACGAGGGCAGATTAAGTTACTTTTTCAAGATACTCGAGGACAACTCATGGTGACAACTCGATCTTTAGAGACTACACAGAAAGCCAAGAAATTGGAATGCAAAACCTTAGATGCTACAATCAAAAGAATGGCTCCTGATGGAACTAGCATTACTATGTCAAGGTGAGTTGAAAAATGTACAGTCTGAAAGCAAGAAGAACTGATGGCTATTGAGTTAAGTAAATTTTCATACATGTCCCAAAGATTTGTGATTACTACTGAAGGCAATATATATTTTACAACAAATTTGGTACTTGCCTAAGGCTGAATGCATTTTCCTTTTCTACACATTATTTGCAGTATGTATGTGTACAACAGTCTTTCTTTGAAACGCATTGTATTAATTATATGTAACTTTTTTCAGTAAATGCTCTGACTTCGAGGCTCTGATGGCTTCATCCTTAGGTGTTTCTAAATCTATACTGAATAATGTAATATTTTGTCATCAAGAGGAAGCAAATTGGTAAGTTGAAAGTACAATATGTATTGTCCACACTTGTTTAGTCTTAGGGTGGTAGGAAAGTAGAATGTGTTCAATAAGTATGGTAATTTGTGCAGGCAAATTCAGTGAATAGTTTCAAGAATAGATATGATAAGGTTCAAGAGGCCTGAAGTTAACCCTTTCACTGTCCAGACCCCTGATCTGAAACTTGTCCACAGTGTTGAAGAATTTTCAAAAACAACTTTCTTTTTTTTTTCTTATGAAATGGTAGTCTTTTTCTGAAGGTAATAAAACAAAAAGTATGAAAATTGATGGAAAATTGATGAAATTATGCTTTTGCGAATTTTGCTGCATCAGCGATATTTACACATTGGCGATTTTGCTCACTTTGAGTCCTATTTTAGGCCATTTACAGTGTTCCAGGTGACGAAATTCTTAACTGTTTTGTTAAGAATTCCGTTGACTTCAGCTACCCCGTGAAGTGGATAGAAATTGGTAATTTGGCCAATTACACTCAAATTTCAAAATATTCCAGTTTCAGAATAGGGTTTAGAGTTAGCAGTGCAGGCATTCCTGGCACTAAAATAACATTTCCTCTGTTCATTAGTTATGTTTCTAGGCTTCACACGTGAATTCCATTTTGATTTTTTATTCACACAAAAAACAGAAGATTTACTGTTATGCAATATTGTAATAAATTTTTTTTTTTTTTTTATCACACTGGCCGATTCCCACCAAGGCAGGGTGGCCCAAAAAAGAAAAACTTTTACCGTCATTCACTCCATCACTGTCTTGCCAGAAGGGTGCTTTACACTATAGCTTTTAAACTGCAACATTAACACCCCTCCTTCAGAGTGCAGGCACTGTACTTCCCATCTCCAGGACTCGAGTCCGGCCTGCCGGTTTCCCTGAACCTCTTCATAAATGTTACTTTGCTCACACTCCAACAGCACGTCAACTATTAAAAACCATTTGTCTCCATTCACTCCTATCAAACACGCTCGCGCATGCCTGCTGGAAGTCCAAGCCCCTCGCACACAAAACCTCCTTTACCCCCTCCCTCCAACCTTTCCTAGGCCGACCCCTACCCCGCCTTCCTTCCACTACAGACTGATACACTCTTGAAGTCATTCTGTTTAGCTCCATTCTCTCTACATGTCCGAACCACCTCAACAACCCTTCCTCAGCCCTCTGGACAACAGTTTTGGTAATCCCGCACCTCCTCCTAACTTCCAAACTACGAATTCTCTGCATTATATTCACACCACACATTGCCCTCAGACATGACATCTCCACCTGCCTCCAGCCTTCTCCTCGCTGCAACATTCATCACCTATGCTTCACACCCATATAAGAGCGTTGGTAAAACTATACTCTCATACATTCCCCTCTTTGTCTCCACAGACTCCTAAGTGCACCACTCACCCTTTTCCCCTCATCAATTCTATGATTCACCTCATCTTTCATAGACCCATCCGCTAACACGTCCACTCCCAAATATCTGAATACATTCACCTCCTCCATACCCTCTCCCTCTAATCTGACATCCAATCTTTCATCACCTAATCTTTTTGTTATCCTCATAACCTTACTCTTTCCTGTATTCACTTTTAATTTTCTTCTTTTGCATACCCTACCAAATTCATCCACCAATCTCTGCAACTTCTCTTCAGAATCTCCAAAGAGCACAGTGTCATCAGCAAAGAGCAACTGTGACAACTCCCACTTTGTGTGATTCTTTATTTTTTAACTCCACGCCTCTTGCCAAGACCCTCGCATTTACTTCTCTTGCAACCCCATCTATAAATATATTAAACCACCACGGTGACATCACACATCCTTGTCTAAGGCCTACTTTTACTGGGAAATAATTTCCCTCTTTCCTAAATACTCTAACTTGAGCCTCAGTATCCTCGTAAAAACTCTTCACTGCTTTCAGTAACCTACCTCCTACACCATACACCTGCAACATCTGCCACATTGCCTCCCCTATCCACCTGTCATTACACCTTTTCCAAATCCATAAATGCCACAAAGACCTCTTTAGCCTTATCTAAATACTGTTCACTTATGTGTTTCACTGTAAACACCAGGTCCACACACCCCCTACCTTTCCTAAAGCCTCCTTGTTCATCTACTATCCTATTCTCCGTCTTACTCTTAATTCTTTCAATAATAACTCTACCATACACTTTACCAGGTACACTCAACAAACTTATCCCCCTGTAATTTTTGCACTCTCTTTTGTCCCCTTTGCCTTTATACAAAGGAACTATGCATGCTCTCTGCCAATCCCTAGGTACCTTACCCTCTTCCATACATTTATTCAATAATTGCACGAACCACTCCAAAACTATATCCCCACCTGCTTTTAACATTTCTATCTTTATCCCATCAATCCCGGCTGCCTTACCCTTTTTCATTTTACCTACTGCCTCACGAACTTCCCCCACACTCACAACTGGCTCTTCCTCACTCCTACAAGATGTTATTTCTCCTTTCCCTATACACGAAATCACAGCTTCCCTATCTTCATCAACATTTAACAATTCCTCAAAATATTCCCTTCATCTTCCCAATACCTTGAACTCTCCATTTAATAACTCTCCTCTCCTATTTTTAACTGACAAACCCATTTGTTCTCTAGGCTTCCTTAACTTGTTAATCTCACTCCAAAACTTTTCTTATTTTCAACAAAATTTGTTGAATAACATCTCACCCACTCTCTGATTTGCTCTCTTTTTACATTGCTTCACCATCTCTCTTAACCTCTCTCTTTTCTCCATATACTCTTCCCTCCTTGCATCACTTCTACTTTGTAAAAACTTCTCATATTCTAACTTTTTCTCCCTTACTACTCTCTTTACATCATCATTCCACCAATCGCTCCTCTTCCCTCCCGCACCTACCTTCCTGTAACCACAAACTTCTGCTGAACACCCCAACACTACATTTTTAAACCTACCCCATACCTCCTCGACCCCATTGCCTATGCTCTCATTAGCCCATCTATCCTCCAATAGCTGTTTATATCTTACCCTAACTGCCTCCTCTTTTAGTTTATAAACCTTCACCTCTCTCTTCTCTGATGCTTCTATTCTCCTTGTATCCAATCTACCTTTTACTCTCAGTGTAGCTACAACTAAAAAGTGATCTGATATATCTGTGGCCCCTCTATAAACATGTACATCCTGAAGTCTACTCAACAGTCTTTTATCTATCAATACATAATCCAACAAACTACTGTCATTTTGCCCTACATCATATCTTGTATACTATTTATCCTCTTTTCCTAAATATGTATTACCTATAACTAAACCCCTTTCTATACAAAGTTCAATCAAAGGGCTTCCCTTATCATTTACACCTGGCACCCCAAACTTACCTACCACACCCTCTCTAAAAGTTTCTCCTACTTTAGCATTCAGGTCCCCTACCACAATTACTCTCTCACTTGGTTCAAAGGTTCCTATACATTCACTTAACATCTCCCAAAATCTCTCTCTCTCCTCTACATTCCTCTGTTGTCCAGGTGCATACACGCTTATTATGACCCACTTTTTGCATCCAACCTTTACTTTAATCCACATAATTCTTGAATTTACACATTCATATTCTCTTTTCTCCTTCGATAACTAATCCTTCAACATTACTACTACCCCTTCCTTTGCTCTGACTCTCAGATACTCCAGATTTAATCCCATTTATTTCCCCCCACCTAAACTCCCCTACCCCCTTCAGCTTTGTTTCGCTTAGGGCCAGGACATCCAACTTCTTTTCATTCATAACATCAGCAATCATCTGTTTCTTGTCATCCGCACTATATCCATGCACATTCAAGCATCCCAGTTTTATAAAGTTTTTCTTCTTCTCTTTTTTAGTAAATGTCTACAGGAGAAAGGGTTACTAGCCCATTGCTCCCGGCCATTTTAGTCGCCTCATACGACACGCATGGCTTACGGAGGAAAGATTCTTTTCCACTTCCCCATGGACAATAGAAGAAATAAAGAAGAACAAGAGCTATTTAGAGAAAGGAGAAAAACAGAGATGTATGTATGTATATATATATATTTATAATATATATATATATATATATATATATATATATATGCATGTGCATGTCTGTGAAGTGTGACCAAAGTGTAAGTAGGAGTAGCAAGATATCCTTGTTATCTAGCATGTTTATGAGACAGAAAAAAAAACCCAGCAATCCTACCATCATGCAAAACAGTTACAGGTTTCTGTTTCACAGTCAACTGTCAGGACGGTAGTACTTCCCTGGGTGGTTGCTGTCTACCAGCCTACTACCTATATTGTAATAATTGTATAAATAATATCAGCACATTCGTTGATGGATATTAGGCTCACCAGTTGACGTGCATTAGACACATGATGTGAATTGTTTACTCTTGAACATCAGGAAAAATGAAACGTTTCTGCTAATTTGAGCTCAATTTCAAGCTAGTTTCAGTCCTAAAACCAATCAAAATCTTCACTATTTTTGTAATATATTTTCCATTTTGTCAAATGAGATACTGAAACTGAGAATGTAGCCATAAAAACCTCACGAAAATACGCCACAAAGTCAATGTTTTCAACATGGTCACAGTTTTTTTCATTCAGTGTGATGCACACTTATCACATAGACCCATTCTCTCATATCGAGGCCCAGATTTACCGTTCACAGCTTGTCTGAGTTAGTTGAGCTCGTGGTGTATTACTAAGGCACTGACCAGTGGTGCCTTATGTATAGGTACTGCCGAATTGCAGCATCCCTTATTTTCACTCAATATTATGGATAACCAAACTGTTGTCCAGAGGGCTGAGGAAGGGTTGTTGAAGTGGTTCGGACATGTAGAGAGAATGGAGCGAAACAGAATGACTTCAAGAGTGTATCAGTCTGTAGTGGAAGGAAGGCGGGGTAGGGGTTGGCCTAGGAAAGGTTGGAGGGAGGGGGTAAAGGAGGTTTTGTGTGCGAGGGGCTTGGACTTCCAGCAGGCATGCGTGAGCGTGTTTGATAGGAGTGAATGGAGACAAATGGTTTTTAATACTTGACATGCTGTTGGAGTGTGAGCAAAGTAACATTTATGAAGGGATTCAGGGAAACCGGCAGGCCGGACTTGAGTCCTGGAGATGGGAAGTACAGTGCCTGCACTCTGAAGGAGGGGTGTTAATGTTGCAGTTTAAAAACTGTAGTGTAAAGCACCCTTCTGGCAAGACAGTGATGGAGTGAATGATGGTGAAAATTTTTCTTTTTTGGGCCACCCTGCCTTGGTGGGAATCGGCCAGTGTGTTAATAAAAAAAAACATTCAATATAATGTCTTTTTTTTTTTTTTTAATTTCTTTATATTTGTACATTATATAATCCTTAAGCTTTAACCCTTTCAGGGTCCATGCCATAGATCTACGGCTTTACGTTCAGGGTCCAAACCGTAGATCTACGCCATGAGCTCAGCTCACTCTGATAAGCTGTGAGCAGTAAATTTGGGCCTAGATATGAGAGAATACATCTATGTGGTATATGTGCACCACATAAAACAAATCCTGCAGCACACAGTGCATAATGAGAAAAAAAAAACTGAGACCATAATTTTTTATTAAAACAGTGAGTTTACAGTGTTTTTTCGTATGTTTTTTATAGTTGTATTTGCAATTTCTTGGTCTCATTTGATAGAATGGAAGATATACTACAGAAATAGAGATGACTTTGATTGGTCTTAGTACTGGAAATGGCTTTAAACTGAGCTCAAAGTAGCAGCAATGTTAAATTTTTGCCGATGTTCAAGAGTAAACAAATGACCTCACAAGTCTAATACATGACAACTGGTGGGTCTAATATACATTCACAAATGTGGTGATATTATTTATGCAATTATTACAGTATTGCATAACAGTAAATCTACTATTTTTTGGTTTGAATAAAAATTCATTATGTGAATAAAAAATCAAAATGGAATTCATTTATAAAGCCTGAAAACATAACTAATGAACAGAGGAAATGTTAGTTTAGTGCCAGAAATGCCTGCATTGTTTATTTTGGACCCTATTTTGAAATTGGAATATTTTGAACTTTGCATTAAATTGGCCAAATTACTAATTTCCGGTCACTTTATTTTGTTGTTGAAACAGTTGACTTTGGCGATTTCTCGTGCTCAATCGGTATAATAGAAGTAATACTAGTGAAATAGCTAAGAATTTGGTTGACTGGAATACTGTAATTGCCCTAAAATGGGAGCCAAAGTCGGCAAAATCACCGATGCGTAAATATTGCCGACTCATCAAAATTCGCGAGAGCATAATTTCGCCAATTTTCCATTAAATTTTGTACATTTTGTTTTATTACTTTCAGAAAAAGATTCTCTACCATTTCATAAGAAAAAATAACAAAATTATTTTTTGAAAATTCTTGGACCCTGGTGCACACTTTGAAATTTGGCCTCTGGACCCTGAAAGGGTTAATGTCAGTAGCCATCCCCTAGTACATGTACTTGAAAAAATTTAAAAAATCCTTGTTTGGAGCCGTGCGCTTCAGTTCCAGCGACTTGGTGTTTAGCTACTGTGTGTATGCGCACATGTCCGAGATAAAATGCTGAATGCTAGTTAGAGAGAGCACTGTTGCTGATGCAACGCCATCCCTGTTGTACAAGTGTAAGGTAGTGATTCTCTTTGACTCAGTGATGTGTATTGTGCTTAAAAACCATGTACCATTTTCTTGAATGTGATAAAGTGTAGTATTAGATGATTATCATGCTTCCAGCTATTTATTTCATAGTTTTTTTTTTCGGTTCTTTTATTTTACAGAACATTTAAATAATTTGTTTTGTTTTACACAATATTAAAACAATAGCTAAAAATTTTGAGGCAGCACCTCCACTAATTTTAGCTATTAGCCACCACTGGCACTGACAGTGACCTCAAAGCCATAATACTACGGCACAGTCAGCGAAAGGGTTAATATTGCCATCAAAGTACAATACTTATGTAGTTTAAAAGGCATACATGTGATTAGTTTAGAGGGTTGTTCTACCAATGCAGCCTGGTCTGAGATTAGGATTCCTTGTTATTACCTGACCAACTAAGTTGTGTGTTTTAGTGATTTTCAGGGCTATGTAATTACAGCCTGGCTTATCTGGCATTGGGAGGAGATAGTGGGCTAGTTTCTTCTTGGAAAAAAAAAAAAAAAAGACTGATACTCTGCCTTCACAAGCTCTTGCATTACAAAGGCAAATTTTAGAGAAACCTTTAGATATATTGGATGGGGAAATACTGCTTAGAAGCACATGTTTAGTGTCACTAGTAGAGAAATGGAACACATAAGAGTAACACAATAGCAGATATAATATAGTTGCTATAAAAGCTATATATGTGCTAGTGCATAAAGTATCATTTTTATTTAGGAGTTGGAATGTCCCCCCCCCCCCCCCCCCCCCCCCCCCGTTTCAGCCTCCTAGGCTATCCATATTATAATTTTTTTTTGGTCATTTGTCTGTTAGTATACTATGCACTTCTTTAAGTGACACTGAAAAGGCAAAAATTATTGTAGTAATAAGGAATTTTGGTTAAAAATTTTGACTGTATAGCTTATGAGGGTGGGAGGTGTGACTCTTCAACCTTGCATAGCGTGTACAGATGTGTGTGCAAATTCATGAGTTTCAGTTTTTGCGGATTTTGATTATCCAACATTTATATTGCTGGGCAACCAGATTTCTGTCATTCAGCATTTTTCTGGTTCATTGGCTTTCCTATGGCCAAATCTCCTTTTAATTCTTGTAATTTTCATAAAAATACCAGTAATAACCAGAGAGATGGTCTCTAAAACACAAAAATGAGATGAAATCTGAAATAAAATTTGTTATGCAGGCTTTATTTTGTATTATTTACAGTCTATATGTTTGTGAGACTGCGAGGCATGTGATCTCCACGTGAATTCGTAAGGATGACAACCAGAAAATTAAATTTTCATATTATTGAAATAACTTCAGTCTACAAAGGTAGAACATGGTAATATTTAATGTATTTTTTTCCAACACTTTGACTGTCTCTCACTGAGGCAGGAAGACCCCCCAAAAAAAGAAACACTTTCACCAGCATTCAACACTTTCGCATCATTCACACATAATCACTGTCTTTGTAGAGGCGCCCAGATACGGCATTTCAGATGTCACTCCAAGCAGCCAGTATCCCAAACCCCTCCTTTAAAGTGCAGGCATTGTACTTTCCACCTCCAGGTTGGAGAGCAGCAAGACTTAAGGTTTACGAACATTGAGTGAAGCAGCTGCACCACCCCATTAATGTTTACAAACATTGAGTGAGACAGATGGAGACCACGCCATAAACTCATTCTCTCCAATATATTAATATACAGAACAAAATTACAGTATATTTTCTGTTAAATTTCCACACTGTTAAGTGAATGTAATTGATTGTTCCATTAGATTGCCCCAAATCTTGCTAGCTGCACTTAACAATTCTTAACTCTTAAAATCGAGAGTCTGATATATTTCAGTTGTCTGGACAAAAGACAACAGAGGAAGCTGGTGTGGATAAATACTGGCAAGCCAACTCTGCCATGTGTAGAAAATTGATTGACTGTTGTTGTCAGAATTGTAGTGGGTTTTCTGATTCTGCTAAATTGGGGAGCTAGGTACTTTTCAAACTTAGGTTCTGTAGTAGGTTGGGTGGCACTGGCTAATGGGGCTGTTTTCCATGAACTTAGGTAACTTGGAATATATATTTGGCTTGTGTGGCTCTGACAGATAAAATGGTCTGAAGTTTGGCAAAATTATATGGAAGTTTGGTGGCAAATTCATTTATCAAAATTTGTCTCATCATCATCTGTTTCTCCATGGGTAGCCTACATGAGCAGCTTTTACTGATCAGAAACTACTGATAATGAAGAGTTTCATGATTTAATACATTAATACTTGCTTCTGCACAGAAGCTTCTGGTATGTTTATCAATATGCACCTGAATTTCTCTTGACGTTCAGACAACTCAGCACAGAGCTCCCTAATATGAAGAAATCTGGTTCTGGATTTTCAGGTAGTGCTACATTAAGGAAAAGAAGTGGTCAGAGAAACAGGACTGTAGCTTCTTTAAAACTTGTCTATATATTTTTGTGTATGTTGCAATATTATTGTACATTTTAAATTTTTTTGTATTTAGGCCACTAGATGAAGGGAAAAAGGTGAAAGACAGGTTTGATGCTATATTCAACGCTACAAAATACATCAAATGTTTGGAGACTATTCGTAAGCTTCGATTGGAAGTGAAAACCAGTAAGTAACTTTATGAATCTGCAACTTTGTATTGTTATATAGGTACAAATTATAAATTTAAGTACTCTTCAGAGTGAAATTTTTATTGATGAATATCTATTTTTGTTACATTAGCTGGACTATACCTGTAATATTCTGCCTTCAGTGCACCCTATCATGGTCCCAGTCATGTTATCTACCACTTTTGGGGAGGAAATATTTTCTTTTTTCATGGTTTGAAATTATGGCTTTTTTGTTCTCCCATTTGATGCTTCTAAGAGGTATGTTGTCTCTGTTTTTTTGTATCTTTTGTGATTTTATATGTCATTATATCTTCAGTATTTTTACTGCTATCTACTGTACCACATACAGTATCTTTCAACTTCCTTTGTAAGTTCAACATCAAACATCTCCAGTCAGGCAGCCACAAGATCAAACAGGTGTCAGACTGAATATCTTTCAGAAATACAGATATGATATTGAGTTGAGAATTTCATTGTGGATCCAAAATTTCTAACCATTTAATATGCAAAATGTTATTCAGCAATAGCTTTTTATTTTATAAATAATTGCATATATAGTACAGATCCTTTTCTTTTTTGATAATTCTAGTTGTTCTTTTCTCAGTCCTATCTACCCTTACCCCCCAAATTGAATGACCACGGTCATCATATAACACCTCACCCTTCCTTTTATGATGATGCGAGTGAGATGGTCAAGGACCTATCAAACATAGCTTAAATTCTTCCCAAATTTTATTAATTATAAATGAATCTAATTGTAAATTCTAAATCAATATTCATCTTTCTTCTTTCAACACACCGGCCATATCCCACCAAGGCAGGGTGGCCCAAAAAGAAAAACGAAAGTTTCTCTTTTAAATTTAGTAATTTATACGGGAGAAGGGGTTACTAGCCCTTGCTCCCGGCATTTTAGTCGCCTCTTACAACATGCATGGGTTACGGAGGAAGAATTCTGTTCCACTTCCCCATGGAGATAAGAGGAAATAAACAAGAACAAGAACTAGAAAGAAAATAGAAGAATACCCAGAGGGGTGTGTATATATATGCTTGTACATGTATGTGTAGTGTGACCTAAGTGCAAGTAGAAGTAACAAGACATACCTGAAATCTTGCATGTTTATGAGACAGACAAAAGACACCAACAATCCTACCATCATGTAAAACAATTACAGGTTTTCGTTGTACGCTCACTTGGCAGGACAGTAGTACTTCCCTGGGTGGTTGCTGTTTACCAACCTACTACCTAGGACCAATATTCATATTAAATTCAAACCTATTTTGTATGAAGCTTGATTCAGTTTTATTTCTCTCAGCCATGGACCTGCTTGATACAGCTTTTTTGGCTTTTTGAAAATCAGTTGGTGGCTTAAAATCTCTCATATGAATAAATGGAGCATTAGACTCTTATCCAGTTCTAATGCTATATTTATGTTGTTGTAATCTTAGTTCAAGGCTTTTACCAGTTTGACCATAATAAACTTTATCACATTTTTTACAAGGACTCTTGTAAACACAGCAATCAGCTAGATCATTAGCTATTTCATAAATATTCAAGATTTCTTCGTCTATAAACTCTGGGCTGCAGATATGCAAAGCTCTCAAAAACATTGATGAGAATACAGAAGGTTTAACTATCATAATGTGAAAAAATAATAGCTCACTTTACAGTTTTTTTTTTTTTTTTTGTATATTTTGGGTTTAAAATCATGGTTCCATTTAATACTCAATACATCTAGAAAAGTAGCGAGTTATTTTGCTCAAACTCAACAGTAAAATTTATAGAATGAGCTAGACTATTTAATTTAACAAGGAAATGATTTCTATCGATATTCTTAAGCATTAGACACAAAACATCAGCATATCTGTACCACTTAGCTCAGTTGGGAAGGATTTTGTTAAGCAGTTTTGTTTCAAATGGCAATGGTAAATGTAATTAACAAGTTCTTCAGATAGGAAACTTAACCCGTTAACTGTATAACGAGTTTATTTGGTGATACTGCAAGCGGGGTGTGAATTATACGTCTTCCCGAGGCTTCTTACTTTATTTGCAATGTCGCGGTGGGTACACAGGCTTGTGTGTTGTGCCCATGGCCCGGGTAGGCCATGCCCACGAGAGGGAACTAGTAGGCCTTGTGTCTTCCTGCTAGGCCGCTGTGAGAGTGAGTGAGCGTGTGGGACCAGCTTCCCACAGACTTGGACAGGCCCGGAGGGCAGCACCTGAGTGGCGTGAAATATGAACTGAGCTGGCAGACAGCAAGGCTGTCTGTGCAGACAGTACAGGCTGTTTACAACTGTCCAAACGTAGATCTACGTTCTTTCGTCCAGCACTCCGAATCTTTTGAGAATTTTTTTTTTTTTTTTTTTTTTAGAGAGATAGAGTGCATTTTTCTATGTGTCATAGGATAAAAACAAAAATTTTAGGGTCAGTACTCGCCGAGATATGAGCCTGTGAAGTTTGCCCTTGATACTCGTCTGACAGCAACATGGAGTCCTGCCGCTTGCAGGAGTGTTGCCGATATACCTTTTTTCTCGTTTTCATATTTTTTTCAACAAATTGGCCATCTCCCACCTAGGCAGGGTGACCCAAAAAGAAAGAAAATCCCCAAAACAAAAATACTTTCATCATCATTCAACACACTCAACTCACTCATACATAATCACTGTTCTTGCAGAGGTGCCCAGATACAACAGTTTAGAAACATATATAAAGATGCAATATAAATCTGTAGGGGAAGGAAGGTGGGGTAGGGGTCGTCCTCAAAAAGATTGGAGGAAGGAGGTAAAGGAGGTTTTGTGGGCGAGGGCCTTGGACTTTCAGCAAGTGTGCATGAGCGTGGTAGATAGGAGTGAATGGAGCCGAATGGTTTTTGGGACCTGATGAGCTGTTGGAGTGTGAGCAGGGTAATACTGTATTTATTGAAGGGATTCAGGGAAACCAGTTATTTTTATATAGCTGGACTTGAGTTTTGAAAATGGGAAGTAGAATGACTGCACTTTAAAAGAGGGGTTTGGGATATTGGCAGTTTTGAGGGATGTGTAATCGAATGGTATATATATAATTGGGGCCCTAATATCATATTCTATAGGGAGTTTGTTATATTATTTCAGGTCATTTTTTATATTGTATCTTTATATATGCTTCTAAACTGTTGTATCTGGGTACCTCTGGAAAAACAGTGTTTATGTATGAGTGAGGTGAAAGTGTTGAATGATGATGAAAGTATTTTCATTTTAGGGATTTTCTTTCTTTTTGGGTCACCCTGCCTAGGTGGGAGACTGCTGATTCGTTAAAAAAAAAAAATAACGAATTCCCTTGAAGCATCATGTAAAAGTGTGTCACTCGTCTTATCTTATCACTCCACTGCTGATAATGGTGACATTTGATGAGCGTCCTCTTATCTCATCTTATCACCCCGCTAATGACAGTGGTGACATTTGATGAGCTTTCCCTTTATTTGTTTTCAATGTTTCACATAAACATGTCTGTCTGTCTAGCGCTCTGTCTAGCTTTGTATCTAGCTTTCTGTCCATCTGTCTTTCTAGCTCTGTCTTTCCAGCTCTGTCTGTCTAGCTCTATGTATCTGTCCATCTGTGTGTGTGTGTGTGTGTCTGCCTGCCTGTGTGTTTGTCTGCTTGTCTCTCTTGTCTCGGAGAGTTGCTCATGGACCAACTGGTATTACAAACGATCACTATCTACAAGCACAGTATAGCAATTTGTCTGGATTTTTTGGGTTATCCTAGGTAATTTTCACTATGTATAATTGTATTTATGTATGTGTTCCTGTGAGATGGAAACAGAGATAGAGATGCAGACAGACAGATGGAGATAGAGACAGCCAATCAGCCTGCTGCTGGATATCCAGGTGGCCATCCAGGAGGCCATCCAGCCACCGGCCAGCCAGCCGCCGGCCATCCAGGTGGCCAGCCAGGAGGCCAGCCAGCCACCGGCCAGCCAGTGGCCAGCAAGCCGCCAGCTGGCCAGCCAGCCTACCGAAATTACAGTTCCAGAATTGTTTCTTTTTACTTAGGGCATAGGTTATAAGACATTCTGGCAGGATGACGCTTTCCTCTTGAAAAGGGAGTGTAATACGAGATGACGTCAGAGAATCCTTGGTTTTTGCTGCACTTTTTGCTCTAGCTGGCACTCAATTGAACTGGTGCTCCCACAAGGTACTAAGTGGTCCCAGATTTTTTAGTGCGCACACTGAGGGTTAAGACTCATTCTATGCTGACCCGGCATCTTAAGGCAATCCTTTGGACAGTTAACGGGTTAATAAATCAACTGGAGCTTTTGTAAACAAAGAAGTGAAAATCAAAATTAACCATGTTCTAATCATTTAAATCATTCATGGTGCTTAATTTATCAACTAAATCGGTATTATTTTTAGCATTAAGGGCAGAAATTTTACCAACAATTGGGCTCAACATATCTAGTCATTTAGATCATTTATAGGAAACTGAACCTATGGAGCTAATCATGGGTCTGGCTGGATTACTAGGTTTTTGTGATTTTTATTAATCCATACATATACAGTAAAGATGGATGGTGATCATGAATTTTATGATTCTTCTTTGCTTTTCAGTAGATGTTTTATTTAAGTTATTATTAACTGAATCTAAGGGATTCTTTTTAAGTTTGGAATAAGTATCTGCATCATCTAAAACAAGGGTTTCCAACCTGCGGTGAGAGCACTGAATTAAAAGCTTATTTTTTTGAGTTCTATTTGTTCACCTGCAGTACTGTATTTGGTTCAATTTGTGATTCAAAAATTAGAAATTTGACTTCATCTTCAAATGTGTTATTACTTATGTAGAGGGTGCAACATTAATCAAACATTTCCTAAGGGTGCAGAGCATAGAAAAGGTTGGGAACCCCTGATCTAAAAGATTGTTAATTTTACCTTGGTAATCAGTTTTTCAAAATTGCTACTGTATTTATTTTGTCTGCTTTAGTAATATGCAAATTTTTTATTACTAATAAGGTTTTCATAAGACAAAAAATCTTTGATGCCTATTGGGAATAGTATATTGTTTCATCATAGAACTATAAGCCATCCCCCTACTTATATTAATTTCATCACTGGATAACTCAGTGGATTTTTCCACTTTACAAAAAGCTTTTGCAATTTTCACATTATTGACTGTTTTTAGAAGTTGCAAAACTTCTAAAACACTTGATTGAAAATTCCCCCCAAAACGCTGACTGCTGTGAAAAGTTTATTATGATCAAACTGGGAAAAGCCTTGAACTAAGATGACAACAACATAAATATAGCAGAACTGGACAAGTTTAATTGATTTTCAAAATGCTGATAAAGCTGTATGAAGCATGTCCATGATTGAGAGAAATACAGCCTCTCCTCACTTAGTGATACTCGTTTACCGACTGCTCGGACTTACGACCAGTTCTCCAACTAGTATGCAAATCTAAGTAATGTATATTAGAGTTGATTTCCTCTATTCTGTGTATTACAGTATACAGTGGAACCTTTACTTACAAGTTTAATCCGTTCCATGACCTTGCTCGCAACTGGATTTGCTTGTTTGCAGAGTAAGTTTTCTTCATTTAAATTAATTGAAATGGAATTAATACGTTCCAGTGGAATTCCAGGCATGAGAAAATACTTTAATAATTTCCCTAATATCAGCTCTGCAGCTTAATTATCTATCACAATTCATGTAGTATGACATATTAAACAATATTAACAACATAGAAACATGATATATACACTAGAATGAATAAAATACATGTCATTAGGTATGTGGCTAGTGGTGGTGACAGCAGCCATTGTTGTTGGGGTTTATAGGGCCACAGTGGCCATTCCTGCTCCTGACTACATGTGTAGAGAACCTAGGATAACCCAAAAAAGTCAGACAGAGTGACTTTTAAGTGCTACACTCTTAATGCTACACTTAATTGCTACACTCTTAATGTTACACTTTGCCACTGTTGCTTCATATTGTCTGCCACTGCTACTTCATGTTGTCTGCCACTGCTGTCTCATGATGTTTGCCACTGCTGCTTCATGTTGTCTGTCACTGCTGCTTCATGTTGTCTGCCACTGCTACCTCATGATGTCTGCCACTGCTGCTTCATATTGTCTGCCACTGCTGCCTCATGATGTCTGCCACTGCTGCCTCATGATGTCTGCCACTGCTGCCTCATGATGTCTGCCACTGCTACATCATGATGTCTGCTACTGTTGCTACATGTTGTCTGCCACTGCTGCTTCATGATGTCTACCACTGATGTCGCCAAAGAATTGAACATTTCTGCTATTTTGAGCTCAATTTCAAGGTACTTTTCATTGTGAAACCAATTAAAATCATGTTTGGTTTTGTAGTAGATCTTCCATTCTGTCACATGAGACCAAATAAAACGAGAGTACAACCATAAAAACCATACGAAAATATACCGCTAAGGAGAGGCTAATGGCTGAGAAGTGAACTCCGTTATTTATAATCCGATTTCTTTCATTTTTGGTGTATGTTAAGAAGCATCTTTTTATTATACATTGCCCAAGTTTCAATAAGATAGTCCAACAAACAACAGATCCAATTCCTTAGATTAAGAGCAGGAGCCCCTTCACCAGTGTCAATTAACCTTCCTTGAGGCCCACTTGCATCTGGAAATTTTGCTCATGTCTGGAAGCAAAAAATCGACCGAGTAGCTGCTCGTACCTGGAAAAACTTGCACATGGATACACTCGTAAGTAGAGGTTCCACTGTACAGTACACTACTGTATAAATGTTTAAAAATATACTAGAAATGTTATAAATGGTGCAAAGGTGACATTAAAAAAATATCTAAAGATGGTTGGCACAAACCCACTACCAGTAAAGCATACTCCGCGCTTATTGACCAGTTTGCTTACCGACCTACTCTTAGCTAAGAACAGAACCCTGTCGTTAAGTGAGGAGAGGCTGTATAATTGAATCAAGCTTCATAAGAAATCGTTTTGAATTTAATATGAATACTGGTTTAGAATTGGACAAATTAGAAGAATTTAAGCTATGTTTTGACAGGTCCTTGACCATCTCACCTGCATCATTATAAAGGGAAGGACGAGGTGTTGTATGTTGACTCTGAGATGTAATCTCAGCCTTATATGCCTTTGCTTTTTTGTTATTTTTTTTACAAGTCTTTGATAATGTGAGAAATCATGAAAGCAATTGGAAGTTCACTATTTTTTCCACAGTGGTTGTTTTGCATATTGTGATATCACCTGTTTACTGTGATCTTATTGCATAAAATTATGTCATCAAAACCTTACTCTCTCTATATTTTCCTTTCAGAAATAAAGAATTTGCAAGATATCCTGGTTGAGTTAAAAAAGTGGAAGGAGGAGGCAAATCGTAAACGTGTTGACCTAAAATCTAATGAAGACAAACATAAAAATATTGAGGCTGAGAAACAGGGCTTGACTTCAGAACTGGAGCCAGTAATACTACGTCTGAAACAAATTTCTAATATAGAGGGGGATATAGGACGTATAAGAGAAGAACTCAGTAAGTTTTAACTACTGTATATGTTTTAGATAACAACAACATTTTTTATTAATACATCTGCCATTTTGGAGTGAGTTAAACAAGTTAAGAAAGCCTAGGGAAAGTATGGATTTGTCAGTTAAAAACAGAGTAGGGGAGTTAGTAGATGGGGAGAGGGAGGTATTAGGTAGATGGCGAGAATATTTTGAGGAACTTTTAAATGTTGAGGAAGAAAGGGAGGCAGTAATTTCATGCACTGGCCAGGGAGGTATACCATCTTTTAGGAGTGAAGAAGAGCAGAATGTAAGTGCGGGGGAGGTACGCGAGGCATTACGTAGAATGAAAGGGGGTAAAGCAGCTGGAACTGATGGGATCATGACAGAAATGTTAAAAGCAGGGGGGGATATAGTGTTGGAGTGGTTGGTACTTTTGTTTAATAAATGTATGAAAGAGGGGAAGGTACCTAGGGATTGGCAGAGAGCATGTATAGTCCCTTTATATAAAGGGAAAGGGGACAAAAGAGATTGTAAAAATTATAGAGGAATAAGTTTATTGAGTATACCAGGAAAAGTGTACGGTAGGGTTATAATTGAAAGAATTAGAGGCAAGACAGAATGTAGGATTGTGGATGAGCAGGGAGGTTTCAGAGTGGGTAGGGGATGTGTAGATCAAGTGTTTACATTGAAGCATATATGTGAACTGTATTTAGATAAAGGTAGGGAAGTTTTTATTGCATTTATGGATTTAGAAAAGGCATATGATAGAGTGGATAGGGGAGCAATGTGGCAGATGTTGCAAGTATATGGAATAGGTGGTAAGTTACTAAATGCTGTAAAGAGTTTTTATGAGGATAGTGAGGCTCAGGTTAGGGTGTGTAGAAGAGAGGGAGACTACTTCCCAGTAAAAGTAGGTCTTAGACAGGGATGTGTAATGTCACCATGGTTGTTTAATATATTTATAGATGGGGTTGTAAAAGAAGTAAATGCTAGGGTGTTCGGGAGAGGGGTGGGATTAAATTTTGGGGAATCAAATTCAAAATGGGATTGACACAGTTACTGTTTGCTGATGATGCTGTGCTTATGGGAGATTCTAAAGAAAAAATTACAAAGGTTAGTGGATGAGTTTGAGAATGTGTGTTTAAGGTAGAAAGTTGAAAGTGAACATAGAAAAGAGTAAGGTGATGAGGGTGTCAAATGATTTAGATAAAGAAAAATTGGATATCAAATTGGGGAGGAGGAGTATGGAAGAAGTGAATGTTCTCAGATACTGGGAGTTGACGTGTCGGCAGATGGATTTATGAAGGATGAGGTTAATCATAGAATTGATGAGGGAAAAAAGGTGAGTGGTGCATTGAGGTATATGTGGAGTCAAAAAACTTTATCTATGGAGGCAAAGAAGGGAATGTATGAAAGTACCAACATTCTTATATGGATGTGAAGCTTGGGTGGTAAATGCAGCAGCGAGGAGACGGTGGGGCAGTGGAGATGTCTGTTTAAGGGCAATGTGTGGTGTAAATATTATGCAGAAAATTCGGAGTGTGGAAATTAGGAGAAAGTGTGGAGTTAATAAAAAGTATTAGTCAGAGGGCAGAAGAGGGGTTGTTGAGGTGGTTTGGTCATTTAGAGAGAATGGATCAAAGTAGAATGACATGGAAAGCATATAAATCTATAGGGGAAGGAAGGAGGGGTAGGGGTCGTCCTCTAAAGGGTTGGAAAGAGGGGGTAAAGGAGGTTTTGTGGGCGAGGGGCTTGGACTTCCAGCAAGCGTGCTTGAGCGTGTTAGATAGGAGTGAATGGAGACGAATGATACTTGGGACCTGACGATCTGTTGGAGTGTGAAGCAGGGTAATATTTAGTGAAGGGATTCAGGGAAACTGGTTATTTTCATATAGTCGGACTTGAGTCCTGGAAATGGGAAGTACAATGCCTGCACTTTAAAGGAGGGGTTTGGGATATTGGCAGTTTGGAGGGATATGTTGTGTATCTTTATAAGTATATGCTTCTAAACTGTTGTATTCTGACCCACCTCTGCAAAAGCAGTGATAATGTGGGGAGTGTGGTGAAAGTGTTGAATGATGATGAAGTATTTTCTTTTTGGGGATTTTCTTTCTTTTTTGGGTCACCTGCCTCGGTGGGAGACGGCTGACTTGTTGAAAAAAAAAAATTATTATTTTTTATTATATTTTTTTTTTTCCAAAAGTCGGCGTCTCCCACGAGGCAGGGTGACCCAAAGAGAAAGAAAACCCCCAAAAAGAAAATCTTTCATCATCATTCAACACTTCCACCTCACTCACACATAATTATATTATTATTATTCTATTATTTTTTTTTTCAACAAGTTGGTCGTCTCCCACCGAGGCAGGGTGCCCCAAAAAAAAAAAGAAAATCCCCAAAAGAAAATACTTTCATCATCTTTTCAAACTTTCACCACACTCGCACATTATCACTGTTTTTGCAGAGGTGCTCAGAATACAACAGTTTAGAAGCATACACATAAAGATACACAACATATCCCTCCAAACTGCCAATATCCAAAACCCCTCCTTGAAAGTGCAGGCATTGTATTTCCCCATTTCCAGGACTCAAGTTCCGGGACTAAAATGAAAAAAAACGGTTTCCCTGAATCCCTTCACTAAATATTACCCTGCTCACACTCCAACAGATCGTCAGGTCCCAAGTACCATTCATCTCCATTCACTCCTATTAACACGCTATGCACGCTTGCTGGAAGTCCAAGCCCTTGCCCACAAAACCTCCCTTTACCCTTTCTCTCCAACCCTTTCGAGGACGACCCCTACCCTGCCTTCCTTCCCCTATAGATTTAATTGCTTTCCATGTCTTCTACTTTGATCCATTCTCTCTAAATGACCAAACCACCTCAACAAAACCCCCCTTCTGCCCCCTGACTAATACTTTTATTAACCTCCACACCCTTTTTCCCAATTTCCACACTCCAAATTTTCTGCATAATATTTACACCACACATTGCCCTTAAACAGGACATCTCCACTGCCTCCAACCGTCTCCTCACTGCTGCATTTACCACCCAAGCTTCACACCCATATAAGAGTGTTGGTACTACTATCTTTTATACATTCCCTTCTTTGCCTCCATAGATAACATTTTTTGACTCCACATATTTCCTCAACGCACCACTCACCTTTTTTCCCTCATCAATTCTATGATTAACCTCCTTCTTTCTTTCAACACACCGGCCGTATCCCACCGAGGCGGGGTGGCCCAAAAGGAAAAACGAAAGTTTCTCCTTTTACATTTAGTAATATATTTCAGGAGAAGGGGTTACTAGCTCCTTGCTCCCGGCATTTTAGTCGCCTCTTACAACACGCATGGCTTACGGAGGAAGAATTCTGTTCCACTTCCCCATGGAGGTAAGAGGAAATAAACAAGAACAAGAACTAGAAAGAAAATAGAAGAAAACCCAAAGGGGTGTGTATATATATGCTTGTACATGTATGTGTAGTGTGACCTAAGTGTAAGTAGAAGTAGCAAGACATACCTGAAATCTTGCATGTGTATGAGACAGATAAAAAAAAGACACCAGCAATCTTACCATCGTGTAAAACAATTACAGGCTTCAGTTTTACACTCACTTGGCAGGACGGTAGTACCTCCCTGGGCGGCTGCTGTCTACCAACCTACTACCTAGAATGATTAACCTCATCCTTCATAAATCCGTCCGCCGACACGTCAACTCCCAAGTATATCTGAAAACATTCACTTCTTCCATACTCCTCCTCCCCAATTTGATATCCAATTTTTCTTTATCTAAATCATTTGACACCCTCATCACCTTACTCTTTTCTATGTTCACTTTCAACTTTCTACCTTTACACACATTCTCAAACTCATCCACTAACCTTTGCAATTTTTCTTTAGAATCCCCCATAAGCACAGTATCATCAGCAAAAAGTAACTGTGTCAATTCCCATTTTGAATTTGATTCCCCATAATTTAATCCTACCCTCTCCCGAACACCCTAGCATTTACTTCCTTTACAACCCCATCTATAAATATATTAAACAACCATGGTGACATTACACATCCCTGTCTAAGACCTACTTTTACCGGGAAGTAGTCTCCCTCTCTTCTACACACCCTAACCTGAGCCTCACTATCCTCATAAAAACTCTTTACAGCATTTAATAACTTACCACCTATTCCATATACTTGCAACATCTGCCACATTGCTCCTCTATCCACTCTATCATATGCCTTTTCTAAATCCATAAATGCAATGAAAACTTCCCTACCTTTATCTAAATACTGTTCACATATATGCTTCAATGTAAACACTTGATCTACACATCCCCTACCCACTCTGAAACCTCCTTGCTCATCTGCAATCCTACATTCTGTCTTACCTCTAATTCTTTCAATTATAACCCTACCGTACACTTTTCCTGGTATACTCAGTAAACTTATTCCTCTATAATTTTTAGTCTCTTTTGTCCCCTTTCCCTTTATATAAAGGGACTATACATGCTCTCTGCCAATCCCTAGGTACCTTCCCCTCTTTCATCCGTTTATTAAACAAAAGTACCAACCACTCCAACACTGTGCACTTGTGTGCCTTTGTACCTGTGTACCTGTCTACCATCTTACTATCATATTATAACCAAGACATTGCCATTGTTATTTTTTACTTATTATATTTTTGGTACTTTAATTTGTGAATTTTACTTTGTCAATTTAAATCTAGTTATACTCTTGATCTTGTCAACAACCTATACCAGACCCTAGTGCAATTGCAAGTACCATTTCAATTTGTATTTTTATATTATAAGTTTATATTATAAGTCCTTTTCTAAGATTGTTTTCATATCTTAGTGACTATATTGTGTGTGCAATTAGTGTATATTTCAATTATATTATTGTTCAAGGCCCTTAACTATCTTTTGCTAACTAGTACCAACTACCTCTTTTTTTTTTTCTACTTTTTTTTATTATTTTGCTACCTTAACTTGCATATTTTATCTTGTCAATTTAAATCTAATTATACTC